ATCGCAATATATTGTTGCCATTGTTTTATTTATTTTATTTAATCAGGCCATTTTGAGCATTTTGTTATTTTTTTTCTAATGTTAGTAAAACATTGTTTATGACATTAGAATAATTTTGAACTTCTTCATACAATTTGCGGTGTGTATTCGATTATTATTTGGAGAAAGTTGAGTGTTCAATATATAATCATTTCGAACTTAGTAAGATTCAATACCCTAGCAAAAATTAAGTAGGTCCTGTAGTACTATTTGTATACGTATTATTGTAGAGCTCCGATCGATTCTCTGTGTTATTCAAACGGGGATCGAAATTACTACGTCCTGTTTGGTTACTACGTCGTGGTTCAAAGCCCTAGCGGTGCCCTCAAACTAAAATTGTATCCGTCAGGCCAACTCCTGGCCTTCAGCCGCTCCATAAGTCCTTCCGCAGGTTTGGAGTGCGATCTGCACTGCACTGCAGTCCGGTGAACCTATAAAGGCCAGCAGCATTAGAGTAGTCTGAAAAAAAAACAACATTATTCAAAGTAATTTGAATGTGGAACACTATTTATGATTTTTTTTTATTTTTCGTCTGTTTCCAGCTAATCATAGATTAAGACATTTGTTTTTAAGCTATCAATTAAGTTTACATTAACCCTATAATTGTATAATACAAAAATAAATAATAAATAATACTCAGTCTCTTGTCTCTTGTTTAGGTAGTGAGGTATTTATTTATAACTGTCTGTGTTGTCACTATTGCACTTTGTATATGTGTGCGTGTATTAAATAGAGAATTGTTCACGTTTTGTGCTAACCACTGTTGGGAGTGAAATGTTAAGATTTGTGCATTACATACATATATGGTAAGTGTATGGGAGTTTTGTTTGTTTATGCATGTGTAAATGTAATTATATTCACTTTGTGGTTATGGATGACACAAATATAATATATTTTTTATCACTATAATTGTAGCTGTACACGGGACACACGAGAGTTTTCCGCGTAAATTAAAAGTATTAAGTAAAATAATTAAACTGTGTAATAAATATAAATGGACAGTGTGTATGTAAAAGAGCAAACAGGCCGCATATGACCCTGTTATTTTTTCTAAATGTGGTGAAAATAAAATAGTAGTATATTCCTCTTTTTTAAAAACAAGTAACAAAACGCATTGCTAAAATAAACAAAATCTAACCAAAAATTTAGTGTTGCCATTTAAAATATTTTAAAGTGCAACTTTGTTTTCTGTTCTTTTTACATATGATACGTTTCCTTTTTTTACAGACTAGATTATGATCATCTGGATTTGGTGAAGAATCTTATCATCTTCATTCAACTTTATGTCATCGTTCTAAGTACGGGTCTATCCTCAAGACTAGTATTTAGAATATTGTTCCTAAGCTCACCAGGTGACTTGGTATAGTGTTTTATTTAAAGTTTTCCTTCTCTTACACCGATTTTGTACTCGTAGTCGGTTGTAACGAGATTCTGGGGATGAAGAAGTAATAATTACTAGCTATTTTTAGTCTGTCTTGTGATAGACTAGAAATAACTACTACACTTTTGAATAATCATCACTTTTTTTTTATCTACCATCCAATCGGATCTCATCACAAAAAGTACGAGCAAAAAACTTGCGTGTTGCTCCTTTAATTGTTGTAACTTTACTTTGTGATTAATATAAAAAATATATAATTTAAAAATAATCATACCAAAGGAATTTAGATTTACCATAGCTGTATACGGTACGGTTTCCTTTACTTCGCATTTAATAAGTTATTAATAATTTATTGAAATTGTTATACACATAAGTAAATAGTAATACTTTATTGTATAGACATTTTGATTTTTTTTTTATGTTAGGTTCAAATATACCAAATATATTATTAATTATTTGTATTTTTAAATATCGTGAACTCAAAAAAAGGAAATAAAAATAAGTTAATAAATAATAAAAATAGTTAATAAATATTATAGGTATGTAAATAATGAACATGTCTAATTTTAATATATGTATAAAAATTTACATATAAAATACGGCCATATTAGTACTTTTGTAATTACGTAATCTCTGTATAAATCACGACTAACAATTTAAGTATTCAACAAAAAAAAGAATCATCAAAATAAACTGCGCGATTATCCTTTACGTGTTTCGTGAAATTTGATGATGGATACATTTCCCTTGTAAATAAAACCTAAAACCATCTATTTTATATAATTCAATATTTTGTTACTTTTTATAAATTAAATAAATGTAGGTTCAAAGAAAGGGTCAGAGCAGTTCAATAAACAACCGAATTATTACACATTTGAAGAATCTATGGAGATTATGTTTCTTTTTTTGCATCTGCATCATAGATGAATCTATGGTTTAGATGCATCTAAACCTTAGAACAAGAACTTGTTCTAAGGTTTAGATATCTATCTGCATATCTTGCTGATAGTCGATAAATGTTGTAGCTTCAAAGAAAGGGCCAAAACAGTTCAATAAATAAAACGAATTATTACACATTTGAAGTATCTGTTTGGGTTTTTTGTTTTAGATGCATCTAAACCTTAGAACAAGAACTTGTTCTAAGGTTTAGATGCATGTCTGTCCTAATGATAGTCGACTTAAAATTAGTGGCAATAATAGAAAGGATAACCTACGAAATACATGTAGTCATGTAATATGCATGTTTGCCACCGTCGTGGTATTAAAAAAAAAGATAGAAAGCTATTCTCTGTCTACGGATAATGAGGTGATGGCATATTTATATTTAATTGTAATATTTTTTATTTTTTTTTATTTTATACGTTTTATATTTAATTAGGCAATTTATTAGGTATACATAAAAAGACCAAAATAAATAATTAGTCGGTATATCCAACACATTTTTGTATATATGTACCTAGTAGATAAGGTTATAAAATCTTTTTATTTCCAAGTATTTATATTTTTGTACCTAAACATTTTTTGAGAGAATAAAGATTTAAATTTATATATATATTTTAATTTTACTCCTCTTAGATATGTAGAATATATCAAGTAAGGTTTCAATAATGCGTGATTGGAACAAGGCGTGAATGATTTCGTTTCATTCATACCATATTTTATAGTCTGAAAGAGTGAAAGAGATAGCAGTAATAACACGCGTAGAAATAAAAAGAAAATAAATTGACACATTTACATTCTTAACCATCTTACAGATAACGTATATAATACGATGAACGTATTCTCTAAAATGGCAACACTTGGGAGGTATCTTAGGCATCACACGAAGGGGTTATATGGTATATCAGTGGCTCTGTTCATGTATATAAATGTTTACTAAAAAGTGGGTCGAAAGTTTGTTTGTCATTACAATTAAATAAAAAAAAATCACTTAATTGTATTTGTTCACACTCATACTAGTATTAACATCGCTCATACAGCTATGACACGCTCGTCATCCTACTGCAGCTGCGCGCCGTGCAATATTACGCATCTGTGGCGCATTATGTTTGCGCGGGAAAATAAAACAACAAAATATCTTCTTCTGCAGACATACTGATTAATTGTTGCGCTCTTCATTATATATCCCCTCCGATCGATCCACCGTCCAATTCAAACGGAGATCGAAATTACGACGGCCTGAGCCGAGGTTCGAACACCTAGTGGTGCCCTCAGACTAAAGTCGTATCCGTCAGGCAGGAGTTCGCCTTCAGCCGCTCCATAAGTCCTTCCGCGGGTTTAGAGTGCCATCTGCACTCGCCCCCTATCGTCCGGTGAAGCTGTAAAGGCTGCCAGCTGCGCCCAACAGCATTAGAGTAGTCCGAAAAAAAAAAACAAAAAAAAAAGCTGTTCATTATTATTTTATACTATTTATGTTGGTAATTTACTTTTATTATAATTTCTTTATTCACAATAAACCTGAATATAAATACAGCCCCTAACAACATATCTAACAGTATTGTATTCATATGAACTAGTTTTATTGGGAGAAAATGAACAATTAATCTCACTGTACTATTAGATCTGTCAGTGAATGAGCTATCCTTGGTGTCTCCAAGGCGGCAATATAAAATGAATTACGACTGTCTGGCCTGCATCCGTGATAGACTTAACGAATAGAATGGGAAACTAGCTGAATGCCCCTCTAATCGTGACCCTCGCTTAGACTAAAAGTATTACGCCCGTAAAATATAACATTCTTAGTACTTTTATTTAATACTGATCAATATGTTTCTACAAAGATACAATTATAGGTGCCAGGTTACTTATTAATAATTATAATAAAAATCTCAGGATAATTCACACAGCGTCATCTAGACCCAAATAAAGCTAGCTAAAGCTTGTGTTGTGAGTATTAGATAACTGACACAAATATATAGATTTTTTTTCGGAAATGCATATTATACATAGAAAACACCCAGACAAACAATCATACTCTTGAATATAAATGTTTGTGCCGTGCGAGCAATCGAACGAATCAAGGCGGTGTGTAGACCAAGGAGGCCGTCAAAATCGGTGATATTATTTTTTTTAAATGATTATTATTTTTATTTTGTATGGATGATGATGGAATAGAGCGGGTGCTCTATTCCATCATCATCCATACTACCTGAGCTAATGGTATACACTTGGGGCAGTGGAGGATGATAACATGAACATGATGTCAGTTCAGTTACCCAATGGTGACAAATTTACCAGTATTTTATTACGATGGTTTCCAGAGGGAACCGCGTATCGGTCAGCTTGGCATAGTACATTTCTAGCAATGGGGTTAGTAGTTATTACAACAACCCCTTCCTACTTAATTATTTCAATGTCGGTATAGTGTCATAAACTCAAGTCCCGACTCAAACCCAAGATTCAACAATAAATAAAATATGTCTTCTTTGTAGGATGTTAGTATTTGGAGTTGAATTAATGCATTTAGGTCTAAATAAAATTAGACAGATAAAAATTACAATATATTTATGACAAAGAATCAACAACACGATAGTCAATGAAATTAAATAAAAATATCCTATCGGTTAATAGACATAACGAACTATTTATTGCGAATACTATTCTGACTTGAAACAATTTCATCATATATGCTTACAAAATCACTTTCTTTCGCATAGATAAACTTTGGAAGTTTTGCCACCAAACGTTCTTCTTTTTTAGAAACTGTTCTTTCTGCATAAATTTCCAATACTGCCTTTTTGGTTTCATAAGATTGTAAAATATCAGCAGGTATGGATATATTCTCAGTCAAATTTCGTTTTCTTGCCTTATCTTTTTTAAAATCCCTAATTATATTTGTTTGTATATAATCATGAGACTTTTTATTTACATCAATCTTTTCTTCGGTAAAAATACCAGCTTTTTTATTTAACATTGCTATTTTTGATTGCTTTCTGCATATACTCATATTAGGAGATAATATTCTTTTTATTGTTGTATTACTTAAATCCTTTGATGGTTTTAGTTTATTAGTATTTTTAGATTTTACATTTTGTACGCTATTCACTTTACTACTCATTTTAGAGTTTTGTGTTTCTACGTCAATATGTTCAGGTGTATTGTAATTCAGCAAAAACAGATCTACTTCAGTTCTAATATCGCAGTTAGTTTCATTATTGGTTTTTGTTTTTTTCGTAGCACCTCGGCAGCAACATCCACCGCCAATATTTGTTTCTTTACACATATTTAATTTTGCAGCTACTTTACTACAAAGGCATCCCTTTACTTCATTACTATAATTGTCTGATGAGTCGCTATCACTACTCTCTGTATCCTCCTCTGATGGATACACAGGTTTAACTGTACTTTCCATTTCTGACATTTCTGGTGTACTGTCAGTTTTATAATAATTATTCATACTATCCGTGTCTCTAAAATAATTAGGTTTTAAAGAGGCAAAAGTTACGTCTTTAACTAATTCATTGCTAGTAATTGTAATTTCTTCGTGATCTCTGCTGTCTGAAGTCAAAATTAATTTCAGCATATTCCTTAAGTGCTTCATTCTACCTTTTATCTTTCCTTTCTCATTGCTAGCCTTTTCAAATATTTTCTTTAACAATTCCTTTTTATCTGCTTTAGTCACTGGTTTACTATTATTGTAAATATTTAGTTCATCACTCGTAACATTCATATCTATAGTATGTTCATTCATATTTGTTGCAGAAGTTCGTATCTCTGATTTTTCCTCTTGAGTTTCTTCGTCTATTTTTACACTCATATTTTCACTTTCTGTTTTACTTAATATATATTTAACCTGTTCAGTATCGCTGTTAATAACTTTTTCTGGTTGTAATTGTTTAAGACTAGGGTTTTCTTGTTTATTCGTAATTGATGGAATGGACCATTTATTAGTAAGCATGTGGTTCATTATCTCTTCGCTTGGTTTTCGATTTTTGCAATTGTCAGTTGAAGGTGTAAAATCTGTATTTGTTTTATGTACAGTAAAAACATTATCGAGTTGATTTCGTATGTCACTATAACCCGTAGACACTGTATGGAACTTTTCAGAAATTTTCTTAGAATATTCATTATTGATATGGCACTGTTCATTAGACCTTTTATAGGGTTTTTGTTTATAATTCTTGATCACTATTCGAATATTTACATCATTTTTTGCATTAAGATCTGAAGTCGATGACGGACGATCATCATTCAGAATAAAAACATCTTGTGGCGTTTGTGCTAACTGGATTTTCGCATTCGGTTTATCGGCACCTTCGCCGTTATTGTCGATATTAAACTCTGCGGTTTTATCGCCTTGCGTAACTTTTAACTTGAAATTTATTTCTATCAAATTAGCAACGCTTGCTTCACTTTTTGGATTACCTAAATCAATATTGTTTTTGTCTTCTAAATTACCCGTACTATGCCGTTCTATCTGCAAGTTAGTTGTATTTGGCGTTTCAACTCTATTAACGCAAGAATCTTTGTACGGTTCACCTAAAATAGAGGATCTGTTCATATTAGATTTTTCGCAAGTATAATGTCTTCTCTCGTATAGTGTTTTACCGTCAGCATCCTGCACTTTTATATTCATACCTTCTCGTATTGCTTTAATACTTGGCGTTTCTTTCTTTACCCGTATCATGATTTTCTCTTTAGAATTTGAATTATTATGGCCATGTGAAGGGGAGATTATACACTCATTACTATTACTGTTTTTATTCGACGGTTCTTTTTTTAAAAATATCCCAGATATTTTAGTTTTCGAACGAGGCTTCGGAGGCGAGTTTAGGTTAAGGTAGCCTGGCTTGCATTTTGTCTTAGAAGTTGGTTTTGTAGAACCTATATTATTTGAAGCTGGTGTGCAAAATTTTGTTAATTTACAATTCTCTAAAGAAGATTTGTTAGAAACTTGATTTTTTAGAGGCCAAGGAAATTCTTGACTAGGTAATTTCATACATTCGTCACAAGGATATATTGGTTTCTTATCGACTTGTGATTGGGCATTACATTTTGTTGCAGACTTTTTCTTTTTAGCTTTTTTGATAGGGTTTGGTGATATTGTTGGAGATAATGGATGATAAGGTGGTAAACTACGACCTGAAGTTGATTTCGGTAGATGTGCCTGTGAAATCATAGGTGGCGTCGGCGGACATGGAGATATTTTAGATTGCTTTTTATGTGTTGGATCTAGTGATGGTATTTTACAAATTGCTGGTCGTCTTCCGTGTAAGAGAGGCGACGGTGGACACGGAAGTGAAGGTATACATGAAGGAGATGAAGATTTTTTTACAGGAAGTTGTGGTTGTGGTGACTTTTGACAAGTAGAAGGGGATTTTGGACATGGATTGTTACGTGAAGGTGAATGTAACGGGGAACCTGTGGATACATTGCACGGTGGTGAATTAGGTTTCAAACATGCAGGATTTTTTTTCTTCTGGCACGAATCTTTGCAAGGAGGTTGTGGTATTTCACGAGATGTAGGGTTAATCGTTGCATGTTTTGGGCATTGTGAACTTTTCTTTTTGCAGACTTCGCAAGTAGATCCTTTAAATATTAGAATACCTTCTGGTAATTTCTTCGACAATTGAGCATCTATCGAATTATTCATAGCATCGCATTCGGGTAACGATACATGTTTCTGACTCGCCTTTTTTCTAGGTTTGCAGCACAGTTTTGTCAGTCTTGGATAATCGACTAACGTATTCTGTGCTTCTTTATCTTCTATGCTTGGTTTTGAATAAGGACTATCGTTACCACAAGAAGACCATCTAGATTTATTACTTGCAGCATACAATTTTCTTTTTCTGAATACTTCAAAAGAGTCCTTAGGTAATATTCTCTTACCATTATTTTCTGATGATGCCGACTTATTTTCTCGTTTAAATTTGCTGAAGAATTTGGAAGGAAATTTGTCATCTATAGGTTGTTCATCAAAGATTTGACATTGACTGCAAGATGATGTTCCGCCAGATGAAAGCATCGTGGATGCTTGGTAATCATCAAAAATGTTTGGGCATGACTTTGAAGCATCTCCTTGATTTTTTAAACTTGTGTAAGAGATCTCAGAGCAACATAGTAAATGAGATTCGCTGACACATGAGAATAAATCTATACCCAACGGCGTCCAATGACGATAATAGTCTTGCAAGTAACTTTTAGCAAATTCACATTTTGTTTGATTGACATGGATAGAATGTCCTGATTCTACATCACAGTATTTATTTTGGTACTTTAATCTGTAATGTAGACAACTATAAATAAATATAAAAAATAAGTAAGTTTAGGTGGTAGCTCTGTGTTTACAATATATCATGAATGATTTCAATATATATGAAACAACTTTAAATAATTATATAAAAAAAACTGTTCATCTTATAGTTCGTAGATCAATTAAGTGAAAAATAATTCATTATTCTAATTAAATTACTAAAAATATATATAACTTGATATACTAACATGGGTTTCTTGATTTCCCTTAATTCTCTTTGTGTAATAATTCCTACGCCTATAACGTCACATCTCTTAGCAGTGGTACCCGTACTGCCTTGGGCAACATCTATATTGATTGGCGGTCTCTTTATTATAGTATCAAGAATTTTCGTTTCTAAATCCTCGCTATCTTTAATGCTTACTGTAACCTTCATATCTCTTGTCGAGTTTAAGCATTCATCAGTTCCTAACTTATTACAGACTTTAAAACCAGTTTTGGAATCGGGAGTGTCATATTCCACAATTTTGTATACTTCTTCGTTACTGGTTTGAGTATTTCCACTATCACTAGTTGAATCTGAGAAAAATCCCTTAGGAATATCAATTCTTAAATATTCAGAACTAGGATCCTTATTAATTTTAACAATATTTTTAGATTGCAGGACTACTTCTATTTTGTGAGCAAATGCTTCAGATTTTTCTATAAACCATTTCCTATTTAAAATTGTTACTTCTATGTTCTTATTGTTATTTTCAGTTAGACTAACGATTTTTATAGGTCTGTCAGGAATTGTCTTTGGTATCATCCACGCTTCAATGTTCTGTTTGAAATTAACCTGAGCTTTAGTAAATGAGTTGAAAGTCGAGTCACTACTTGTAATTTCACTGCGGGATTTTAAAACAATTCCTGTTTGCTTGTAAACATTATCCATTAGTTCAAAAACTGTATTACTACTTGTAACATACATTTTGTTATTCCATCTAATTTGGACACTGTTCTTAGATTCAATTCTTCTACTTAAAAATTTACGTATCCAAGATTTTCTTAATATATCTTCGTAGTCCTCAGAAACTTTATTACAAATTTTGTTTTTTTCTGTCTCTTCCGAAATTGTGGTGTTAGCTCCTATATTTATCATTAAACCATCTTTAACTTCACAACGTCCAGCAGTAAACCCTTGTTTGGATTTGTACGGCTGCTTTATTTTATCCTTACTTTTCTTTTTAAAAAAGAAGAAATTTCTACCTTCTTTCTTTTCTTCAAATTCCACTTTTTTAGGTAGTAGTTCCTTTTGTTTTTTCTTTGTGATGTGTGAAGTTTCTGGTGAAAAAAATTTCGTGTTGCTTTCTTCTTCTAAATTAAACTTTTTTCCCCACAGATTAAACATTCCCTTAACTCCGTGCTCTTCACTATGTTCTGTGTGTATCCATTCTCTACTGTCCCTATTTTTTCTGTCTATAAAAGATTTCTTATACGTTGTAATAGGAGTTGTTACAATTTTTTTCTCATTGGAGCTAGATGGTAAAGGACTATAAATTTTTGTTTTAGAATAAGAGCGTGCTTCTAGTGAGGGTGGATCTGAAGCTATGGATACATCCTTGCGACTAGGGACGCTATTTTGACTCAATTCTTTAGTCATTAAAACTGCATTTTTTTTGGATTCATCCCTTTTAGCTATTCCACGTCTCAAAGCTTCAAATCGACGCCGTAGTAATGATGCACTTTTGAAATCTGGAATCGGATTCTCGATATTCGAGCCATGTTCTTTTATTTTAACAGAAAACATTTTTCGATATTCCCTTTCCAGTTTATTTTCCATAGGGTCTATGGACTCTGATAACAGCATTCGACTTTCTTTAGCTTGACTAGGCCTTTCAAAATTATGAATCTGTTGGACTAAAGAATCTGAAGAAAAATCATTACCAACTGCCGCTTTAGTTATAATTTCTTTAAATATTTTCTCTTTAATTTGTTGTTTAGATATTTTTTTATATACAGAACTATCTTCAGTATTATTAAGTGTTATTTCTGATAACTTTTTCTCATATTTGTCTTCTACTTGCGTTGTAGTTGTTACTAAATATTTTAGAGCAGTATTACCTACTTCGATATCTTTTGTTCTTTCTGCTGGAAATTTGGGACTGGTAGCGCCTGATTTTGTTTGCAATATAGGTGAAAGGTTTTTATTCACCACAGATGTAGTGGTGTGTTCGTTTATGGAGCCAACGCACTTCGAGGATGTCCTTTTATTATCATAATAACAGCTTCCGTTACGGTATCCTGTTCTTCCTTCAAAATAATAAAATTTACTTTAGACGAGTCGTAATATAAAAATTCTTACAAGTAAAATATCAATTATAGTTAGATAAATCATCATTCTAATCATCTTCGTCGACAATAAATAAAACTTTGTGTGTTTACAGTCCTGACTGATTCTACCATGAACGAAACAGGTTCACCCTCTGCCATGTAGTATTTATGTATACTCAGCGAAATATGGCCATGTCAAATGTTTCATTCACCATGCCTCTATTTCAACTAGGATAGTTTTTGTGAAAGTAGGTTATATTATTATATTTTTTGTAGCTCAGTCAGTGGTCAAGTTGTCAAAGGTGCATCAAAAATGATGAGTTATTTATTCATCTACATCTGCATCTGCATGGACATCGTGTGGCATCCCCCACGCCCTATCCCTAGTAACGTGTGTAAAATGTTTATATGCCAATAAGTCTGTACTAGTATTATATACAAATGATACAGTGGAATATGAAAACAAATATCTTAAAAAAATATCTTACGAGATGAATAGCACATTTATCAAGAAAGGCTATATAAACATTATGCTACGATCAATAGGAACGGAGCATCAATGAACAATGTTACAAAGAAAAAAGGATATTTGTAGCTTTTGAGAACAGACTTCATTGAGCGGGTCCACCATTGTGCTAAAAGATTAAATGAATTTCAGTTTGATCAATGACATTCAACTTACGATTGATAAACGATGACAAATCTGAACTCCCCACACCTCTAGCGTTAGTCTCAGGCAAATATATCTTCCTTACTTTCTTTCTCTGAAACGTTGTCACATTCCCAATCCCAATATTAGTAAAACTTTTGGATCTGTGGTATGTATATATTTGCTTGGGGTATCCGCTGAAATATCTAACCTCGTGTGGTCTACTCAGAACATTCTTACCAGTACAAATTATGTTATCTCGTTCGCGCTTTGTATCGAATTGACACCCCACGTCATAAGTCTGACCATAGCTATCAGGGGATGCTTTACGAATTATTCCGTTTGCGTGTGAATGATATTCGATATCTTCCTTGATATCACGTTTAGTAACATAAACACCTTTGCTTTTTTTCATTTCTTCTTATTTATCATTATTTGGCTCTTTATTAACTAATTTTTCACTTTTTTCGTTTCAGATTTTAGTTTTTGCTGTAAATTGTGTGGTTACAAATATTGTTCTGTAAAATAAAAATATATGAGTTTAAATATATTTAATTCGATTTGTTTTTCTCAGCCTGTAATAATTAATTTATTAGTGGAGACTAATAAATACAAATCTATTGCAATACATGTATAATTACTTTATATTAATGAACTATTTAAATTCACAAAACTAAATGTTTCCATATTTATTTACATAAATGATTTTAAGAGTACCTTACCGTATTCTGTTTTTGTATATTTCAACAATTAGTATGAACGCTTCAAATTTCACACACTGACTTTTTTACGAAGATTTTGCATTTCTTATATTTTTGCTAAGTTTTTTGACAAGTGTCCATTAATTTGTGTTGCGGGTGAATAATAAGATGTTGCTGGTCGAGACGATGTATATTACTGATGATGATAAACTGACAATGTGTACATAGAAATAATGATCTTATATACTAAATAAAAGTAGGAAAATGTAAGGTGGGGTGACACAGTTTAGATACAGCAGTGCCTAGTAGACAATATTGAATTTGTCTTACTAGACATTATTAAATGCAATTATTATTTTGATGTATCTAGGTGACTGTGTCCCATAATTTGATTTTCTGTAATTCTGTCAGATTTTTCTTTGACCTTTCATTAAAGCTTAAACAGTTGTACCTGGCCAGTTGTAATACTATATTAGATTGTCAAAGATAACATTAGCTTTGACAGAATGAGTTTTATCTAATTTATCTAATCTTGCTCGCAATTCTACTGAGCAGTATAGACTCCAATTTACCTTCACTTTTAATATTCTTCTTTGATATTTATATTATTTTAGTAACATTTGCATTTTTAAATTATGAATATCTTCTTTATATTTTCGGGGTATTTCAGTGTCTAATATTGATTTATCTTGAGGTTAGTTTCTTAGTTTTTTATAACCATTATATCAATGATATCAAATTTCCCATTTTTTTAAATATTGATGTCAGATAAATAAGTTACTAACTACTTATACTGTATTTTTGGTTAAAATAAATATATTTACAAATATATTCAAAAGTCGGTAAAGACGCTAATATTTCACCATAGATATCCTACCGCGTGGGTAAGGAAATCAGTAAATATAATAAAATTATTGTTAATTCCAGATTTCTATGAAATTCATATGATATCAGAGCAATCATTACAGTACAAAAAAGTTCAAATACACATAACGACTTTCGAAACAGAATTACATGAAAACATTGAAGAAAATAAAATAATGAATAAAGACAATAGAAACAGATATCGAAATACTGCTAATAATAAAACAGTATGCTCAATTTGTTTGAACACTAAAACAGTTGATAAAGAGAAAATAGAAGAAATTAGGATAATATGTCCCATATGTCATAAAAATAATCAGTGCGATAAATATGGTTGTGATAATCGTACAATGACAGAGAAACAACAGGCAAATCATGAGAAAAGAGAACAGGAAACGAAGAAACATAATACAAAGGTAATACAAACCTCACATTCTGATATTACTCAAGGTTTGAATTTACTAAACGAGGTATTAACAGTTTTTCAAAGTAAAAAGCAACTGTCTGTAGAGAGAGCAACTAGTAAAACTGCATTATCTAAAGATGCTTATACAATTACTGAAGTAAAACCAAAAAATTGCGATCTTAAACCTAAATTGTCATTAAGTAGAGTATTTCAATATTCAATTGAAGAAGACACAAAGATATATGATAACTATAATTTTAGAATTGTTCATTATTTTCAACCGGATTATATGAGAAAATCTCAGCATTTGATCAAACGAAAATCATCTTCAATACCTCAAATGAAATTAGAGGAATTAAAACATTCGTTAAAGGAAAAAAATAAATCGAAAGATACCATACAAGAGGTCAATAGAATGTTTGCTACAGTTAAAAAAAATGAAATATCAAACTGTTTAGAATATTCTAATAGGCCTGCAGTTAGAAATGGGCCTAGAATATTGCCTGTTGTAAAAACTAAAGATCATGAAGACGCTAATATAGAATTTAATAAGAAAACAGAATTGGAACATAACTGCACGTGTTGTGGAATGAACCAGCAACTGTCTAGTGGAGATTCATTGAATCACATGTGTCATAAAATGTGCCATGAAAAGAAATGCGATAAATGCATTTATACGTTGTGTTGCCATTATGAAAACTCACATCAGATAAAACACAAACCTCAAGTTTGTGAGTTTTGTAAAAAAAATTAAACTTGTGTGGACACGAAACAAATTGCAATTGTGAAGAAAATAGATTTTGATTTTTAAATTTCTAATAAAGTAATATTTTTAAATGTAATGTATTATTTTAGCCTTTTGGCAGAAATTTGAAATACATAATAGAGTACTACATATCTTACATCGTGTGTACATAAATATACATATGTTACATTAGTAATGCCGCTTGATGTGGGCCACCATCAGTCCTCCCTCATATCACAGCTTAATAGTCACTTTAATAATTTTAAATTTCATACTTTAATACTATCTAAACATATATAACTCAAAGGTGACTGACATAGTGATCAACAACGCACAGCCCAAACCACTGGACGGATCAGGCTGAAATTTGGCATGCAGGTAGATGTTATGACGTAGGCATCCGCTAAGAAAAGATTTGATTATTTCTACCCCCAAGGCGATAAAATAGGGGATGAAAGTTTGTATGAAACTTTGTCAATTTTAAATCGATCTTTGAGATTTTTTTGATTTTGATCGATATTTGAGATTCGAGACTTTGCATGCATAAAGCTACTATGACGTAGGCATCCCCTAAGAAAGAATTTTGATAAATTCCACCCAAAGGGGATAAGTTAACGCGAGCGAAGCCACGGGCAAAATCTAGTAATACTATATTTATAGTATTACTAGCTTTTGCTCGCGGCTTCGCTAATGTAATGTCGTCGTAGAAGAATGGGAAAGCATTACTTAAATTTCGCACCGCGTTCCATTGCCATACATGAATCCTGCGTGGATTAGCGCTTAGGACACGTTTAACATGAATTACTTTTTTTTTTTATAACACGGGACAAACGAGCACGCTGCTCACCTGATGGTAAGTGATTACCGCCGCCCATGAGCACCGACAACGTACTTGCAATTCCCCTGGTGTTGCGACCAGGGGAATTGCAAGTACGTTGTCGGCCTTTTAAAAAGGAATAAGCTCTTTTCTTGAAGGTTTCTATATCGTATCGGTTCGGAAATACCATTGCTGGAAGGTGATTCCATAATGTGGTTGTGCGAGGCAAAAAGTTTCTAGAAAACCGCACTGTGGAAGACCGCCATTCATCCAGATGATCAGGATAGTACTTGGAGTTACTTAATGAATTTGATAAATAATTAATGAAATTTTTAAGTATTAAAATATAATTTAATAATAACCATCTTAATGTACATATTAAAATTATAATCAAAAGTAAAAGCTCTCTGAAGAAAATTTCTTTTTTTCGCTTCTGCAACAAAACAACAAAATTAATTACTATTATTCATTCATCCATAACTTTATTAATAACTACACGCCTCGGCTTGGCGCGGGTGTACATGTATTATATATATAAACCTTCAATCACTCTGCGCATCAAAATCTGTTGCGTAGTTTTAAAAATTTAAGCATAAATAGGGACAGATTCTTAGAACATTTCTATAGTTTCATCACAGTTCTATTCTATTCTTACGCGCGTTGTGTAGCGGTCTACTTCCTATGGGCTTGAGTTCGATTCCTCGCACGATGCAAACGTTTGTATTTATGAGTATGCCCGTTGTTATGGTCGGGATGTTTTCTGAATGTATTTACAAATATATAGTAAAGTATTTCTATCAGCCATAACACAGTCCTGCTTAGTTTAGAACTAGCCGTTTATATTGCACAAGATTATTATAATTATTATTATTCATACCTATTGTCTCTATGTTTGTTTCTGCTTCTTTCAAATTTCTCACTGTGTGCTCTTTCCCATTCTCGAGGACTGTCTTGGCTGAAAAAATCATATATATGCCATACTCATGATCATATACGTAAAGGAAAAGGAAGTATGAAAGTGGCACCGGTGTCAGAGAGGTTGAAGAGTAATCGTCTATCATAGTATGGACATGTAATGCGTAGGAATGAGGATAATATTTTAAGAAAGGTGTTACATATGAATGTGAATGGTTATAAGCGCAGAGGAAGGCCGAAAAAGAGATGGATGAACTGTGTGAAAGATGATATGGTAAGAAAGGAAGTAAATAACGCGATGACTGCGAACAGGGATGATTGGAAGCGAAAAACATATTACGCCGACCACAAATAAATGGGAGTCTGGCTAGATGCCGACTAGATTCTACAGCAATGGAGAGGTCTATAACTTATTTAATCTGAAAAAGGTCATCTATAAACTAGTTCACACGAATTTTATGATTTTAAGATCCTCCCCCGTCCTTGAACCCACATCCGTTACCAGCTCACTGCTGGGCACGGTTGTATGTCTCTTCTATGTGTTAATTATTATAGATTATTTAAATCTTTTTTTAATATTTCAAATAGTTCAAATTTCTTATTTTCATACTTAGAAATGTGACGTCACGAAAGTTATGACTGTATATGAGGTTCATCCCCTTAGAGATCAGATTCGTCCCCTGCAAAGTTCCCTGTGGGACCCACGAATTACTTATCTTGCCATATCTCGTATTTAGTACTAGGCGTAAAATTCGTAGCAGACTGCCTACAGTATCGTAACCACAAATAATGTTTATATACTGTATTATAAAGATTTTCATTTACAAGATATATACTATTAAGTTGCCTTTCTAAAAATCATCCTAAGTTTAAATTACGTGTTATTGTCAGGTTTGTCTAATATTCTAAAAAATGCGGTATTTCAAGTTCTACTTACTCCCCTAAGCCTAAATCGAAGAACGGTTCCCTCTTCTCATCACGCACGCTAATTTTAGAATCGAACTCTTTCGTTAAGACTCTCTTTATAGTATTCGAGGAATCAACAAATCTGCACATACATTTGTTAAGCGTTTGCATTTTATTCAAGAACATATCTTTATCATTCATATCCATCGGATATTTCATCAGTTTCTCCAATTCTTTCGTTATCATACGACAGTTGTCTTTCAAGTCAGGTATATCAGTCCATTGCAGGTCTGTATTAGTACCTGCATGCTTTAAGATTTTAATTTTGGGTGTAACGGTCTCTATAAGAAATTCTCCTTCCTGGATTATTTCGTCTGAGGGTTTGTAATATATTTGTCTGACTCCGTACATGGTTGGTGCTGTATCTTCGGAAAGACCATCTTTGGTTTTCGCCATTACTAATTTTAATAGATTTTCAAGACCTATCTTATGATCATTGAGGAGATGCCGGTCTAGTACTGTAATTCTGTGAAAAATAAGAAGTAATCGTAATTCAGGAGGTTGCCGAGGCAGACTTTCTAAAAGTTATTTGTATGGGTACCTGTTGAAGTTGGTTAAAAAACAAAATATATTATAAACTAAAAATGTAATTAGTCTGTGGTCTGTATTCTGTATTATATAGTCTATAAAGTGTGAGTTGTTAAATGGGTGGAATAAAAATTTGTCGAGAATAAAAATTGTGTGTCTGAGTTTCGAAGGCTGTTTTTTTAGTGAAAGAATCTTTCAGTACCTCAATCTCACTTCAGGCGTCAAACAGATTATATTGTATTATTAATTTGACAACCTTCATGGTCTAGTGGAATAACACGCTTTACTTGGATGATCACGGGTTCGTTCCTCGCACGGTACACAAACATTTTTATTCATAAATATAATTGTATCTGTCTTGGTGTTCTATCTATGTATTTGTATCAGATGTCTAGCACCCAGAATACAAGCTCTGCTTAACTTGGGAGTAGATGGCGCAGTGTATTGTTATTGTGTATTGTGCTCAAATATTATTGTTATTAGTCCCAAATTACTTACCTATCAGCATCGAAAGGGCATAAGTGACAACCAAACGTCTCTCTAGTCGGCATCTCAGGACAGGGAGAACCGAGGGTGGTAATAGGGTTACTCTTCGATACTGAATCTATATTAGGGCCCTTCGACGTACACTCGCTAGGTACAGACAACTCCTGGAAGAGAAAAAGTATGTTTATTATAGGTATATTTTCAAATAAACTAAGACGAGAACTAAGATCCATTTTATCCTGTAATTTGATTGTTCAAATAAACCATAAGACGAGAACATAGAAACGCAAGCTGCTTTGATTTTGGCGGCTGAAATAGGTGAGACTGTGGTACACACGCAGACGAGTTTATCTTCTCTTAATAATATTATAAACGCGAAAGTTTGTGAGCATGGATGTTTGTTACTCTTTCACGCAAAAACTAGTGAACGGATTTTTTGAAACTTTACAGTAATATAGCTTATATATCAGAATAACACATAGGCTATAATTTAAAGAGATAGTATGTAAATTGGACGAAATATAATGATAAATGTCAAGTAAGTGTGATGCAGACAAAGGTGCGCGGGAGAGCTAGTAATAAAATTTTATTGAAACTTTACAGTAATACAGCTTATGCTTTAGAATAACATATAGGATATATTTTTTTATTGAAATTTAATGCAGGTGAAACTGAGGGCACATCTAGTTAATTTTATAAACACGAAAGTTTGTGAGTACGAACAGATCTTTGTTACTCTTTCACGCAAAAACTACTGAACTGATTTTGATGAAACTTTGCAGTAATATAGCTTAATATACAGGCTATAAATTTCACGCTGGTAAAACTGCGGGCACAGCTAGTCTAAATATAAAGAAGATCAGAGGTAGACCTCTAGTCTTCTTTATCTTCTTTATAATATTAGTATACATGAGTTTGTTTGGCCGTCATAATAGTATTAAATTGTATATTAACATTCAAAGAATCTTCAACAGTCTCTTCGGCATGTGCGAATAAAGTGCGGCTACGACTTCGCGAGATGCGCGCCCGCAGACGGTCGAACAACCGGGTTGCAGACGACGTCCGCGCACCCACTGAAAGAAAATAAAACTCAGGTCAATGTAGATTCGAACCAACACTCTTTTTTTGAAACTCATAATCGAATAAATTATGACAACAGCCTATTGTTTTATATATTGCTATCTGTAGCTTTAAATTTATATAAAAGGAAAGGAAATGACAATAGGAGTTCTATTTCCTATTAACGACGCACATTAAAAATAGGCTTAAAATATAATCAAAATATTGAAACAGAAAAATAAACATTACATTACTATGAGTTAACAACAAATAAATATAATCAAAATATTGAAACAGAAAAATAAACATTACATTACTATGAGTTAACAACAAATAAATATAATTACAATAAGACAGAATATAGTACTAATGTCAATTTAAATACATATTTCCGTTTCATTTTCCGGTTATGGTAACACCGATAACAAATGATTATATCTTACATTGAAATCCTTTTTTGTCTTTTGCTGTTGTATATTTTGATGTAACATCACAAGGTACTGTATACGGCTTGACCTGAAATGATTAGGTTTTGTGTCAATACGGAATCTTGCAACAGCCTGCGTGCCTGCATTTTTTTTTAAACCGGTAGTGTTTAAGGCTAATCCGACCTCGTGATAACATTGGGAGTTCGTAGGAACACCATATGGTTTTAAAGTTAGTAAGTATATTACACATATCTGTCGCGAAAAACGATTTCGTAGACTAGTAGCGACATCTAGTATCATCATCATCATTGCCTTGCCTATCCCATTACTTGGGGTCGGCGCAGTATGTCACTCTCCTCCACTGATCTCTATCAGTCGTCATATCTAAACATACTCTTTTATTCATATCATCTTTCACACAATCCATCACAAGCGACATCTAGTATAAAGTTTGTAAATTTAAAAAGGAGTTTGCTAACTTATTGTTCTGTTATTTAGTATAGATACGATTGCATTGTCGACATCACATTTAGTATACAAATATAAAAAACCTCCACGCGATTCCCGCTGGAAACCATCTGAGTGAATTTACCACGATGGATAACTGACCTGACCTCATGCTCATCCTATCATCCTTCACTGGTGCCCCGTCTGTGTCAACCGTTAGCGCAGGCGGTTGATCATAATCTACGAAAATAAAATACATTATATAGAATAATAAAATCAATTATTATATAAACAATCAACAGTTTAATACTTAATGATTACCGGTAAAGTGTTGGTTTTATTGGCGTCTGAACAGTAGATGGTCGAGGAGTGGTGGTAGAGCTGCTGATGCATCATCAGAGCGCTCTCGAACTGTGACTTGAAACTGCATTGAGGGCAGCTGGAAACATTGCAATTTTACTAACATTCTAAATGCGAAAGTTTGTGAGTATGGATGGGTGGTACGTGATGATGCGGCTCGAATGCTCAGATGGTAGGTGATGTTGGCTTCAGCAGATTACGGGTTGTAGAAATGATAGATTTGTTTATAGTCTTCAATTTAATGGGTAAATACTGTGATAAAAGTACGTTGGATCGGTCGGTTGATATTTTAAGTCTGTTACATTACGTTGCATATTTAAATTGGATGGGTGTGCGCTCCAATCAGAACGCTCCTTTTGTGTTGCGTTTTATTGCTGCTTGTACGCGACAATGGGTTTGTTACTCTTTCACGAAAAAACTGCTGGATGGATTTTGATGAAACTGTACAGTAATATAGCTTATACATCAGACTAACACGAAATTATTAACTTACATTAAAAAGAAATATTGTGTAAAAGGCCAAATAAAATGATAAATGTCAAGTACTTAAGTGTGATGCAGACGAAGTTACGCGGGTCTGCTATATAATAACAAAATCCTAGAGAATTCACAAAACGCCATCTAGTTCTAAGATAAGCAAAGCTTATGTTGTGGATACTATATAAATGATATAAATATCTAAATATTTTTTTGTAAATACATAAATAATGTACATAGAAAACACCCAGACCGATACAAACTATCATACTCATGAATACGAATAATTGCCGTGCAAAGAATCGAACCCGTGACCTACGAAAGTATAGCGGTGTGCTAAACCGCTAGACCACCGAGACCGTCATATGCAATATGCAGTAACTCTTGCCAGTCTAGTCAGAGGAGATATATATCTACCGAATAATGGGATTGAGAACACTAGTTTTAATCCGGGCCAATCATAGTGAAAGCAGACAAAGACGCAGGCTAAAACTAGTACATATTATTAAATAATTACTCAATATTCTGTGTGCTTACCTAAAACTCATGTGAAGTAAATAAATAAATGAAATTATATAGCAAACTTATTAAAATATATATTCGGAAAATGCCCTATTTGTTGTCAGTTTTTATGACGTTGACATAAATTTATAATATTTATAAAAAAAAAACCACAATAACCACGTCACGTCGCGTCATAAGAACTATAATTTTATTGTCTGACTCCGTTAGAAAAAGAGAAAAAAATGTGATGTTGTCTACTGCTAAGGTGCTTAGAAAAACTTGTGTCAGTCATTGCAATAGGTTATAAATAAAAATAATGTTTTGTTTGTATGTGATAATGTAGTGTACCCTACTGCCATGACTATAACGGTATCTAGTTATTTTTTAAAATTTCGTCTTTAATATACTTTATTTAGTTAACCATTTCTTATCTTAACATAATAATTTTCGATAAAACACTACTATGAAGTTGCAGCGGAATGAATCCGTTTAAAAAGTAAAGGTATTTACATCTCGACATGTCACCTAGGTTGCACTGGGGAGAAGATTCTTAGCAAAAGGGACTATTAACTATTAAGTAATATTTCTGTCAACGTTTTGGGACGAGACCCTTCCTCTCCAGTTTAATAAATTTAAAACCTTTTCACCAGCAGGGATATTTTAAAGATTGGGGCGGATCGTTAATTTGTGAGGCTCTGGGCTAAGTCTACTTAGGGGGCTACCTAATTATATTCATCATTGCCTTGCCTTTATCCCATTATTTGGGGTTGGCGCAGTATGTCATTCTCTTCCACTGCTCTCTATAGGTCGTCATATCTAAACATACTCTTCTTTTATTCATATCATCTTTCACACAATCTATCTTAGGGCGTCCCCTCCCTTTACATCCATCCACATTCATATTATACCTAATTATATTACTCAACTAATAAATACACCGACCAAATACAAGTGATTAGAAATTTCTCGTTCCCTTCGATTGACGCGCACTTGCATGGGTTGATTGATCTCAAGGTGGACAACCTTATGATAGGTTTTTTAACATTCTAGATATTTTTTATATTCTAAATATCATTTCAGTGGGGACTTGGAGCCCTTTGTATTCTCAGGACCCTGGGCTGCAGCCCAAAAAGCCCTTAGGTTGATACGCCTTCTCTCCAGATAACATAAGTGTAAAATCCTTCCGCAGGTCTGGAATGTTCTCTGCATTCGCACCCTATCGTTGGCTGAAATTGTAAAGTCAAAAACAGCATTAATTTAATTCCAATAAAAAAAACTCGCCAGTACTAGTATAGAAATAATCTTTATTAAATAAACGTAATATAAGTATTAATACCTTTAAATTCGGAAAGCAGAGTCGTCTCAACAAAAATGCGGCAAGACACTAGCGTGTTGTTCATTTAAATATTTGTTGTTCTGCTTAACAACATTTATTTATATATGTAATATTTAGGATGCTGTGTAAATACAAACTATAAATAAATTCTAACATAATACTTACATTGCTGACAGTTTCTGTTACAAACATTCCCATCACTCCCCAAATAATCCTATCCTATATTATATATTATAATACAAAAGTCAGTTTGTTACGCTTACACGCCTTAACGAATTTATCTTCATGTTTGGGATGAGTACTTATATATAATTAAAATTGGAGTGTCTGTTTGTAATATTGAAATAACCGTTTTTACTACATGCATATGAATATAAATATGGTACACACACTGAAATAACATTTTTTACAATTTTTGCCTTTGCCTGTTTGTTCTGTCTAATCTCTGAAATGACTGGACCGATTTTGACGGGACTTTTGTTGGTAGGTAGCTTATGTAATAAGGAGTAACTTAGGCCACTTTTATTTTAGAAAAATAAAGTTTGCACTATTCCATATTTATACATATAGTATAAAAAAAAGAACACGTAATAATTGTTCCTAAAAGTTTTTAACACATTCTTCCAAAGCCTAAAAATTTTTAAAATAAAGTACGTAACGAAAATGTAGTTTTAACCCTTCTAACAGCGTGTATGTTTGTTTATCTGTTTCTATAGACGCCATATTTGATATCCATTTCTATTAAGAAAAAAAGAAAAAATACTAATTAGCTTTTTTATTCTTTTTTTTAATTATTTTTAAATAATAAAATGATATAAGACAAGATAAGTAAGAAATTATGTGTATCGCTTCATTTCATTCGGAGACGTTTGTTGTTGAAAAAGAAATATTATGTCACCATATTTATGTTCATATTAAAATAATCGCCATTTTTTGCCATTCCGGTCGTTGTGTAACATCTAATTTTTTATATGATTACAAAATTCGTATCTTAAGTGGGTTGTTATGATGTATGTCTACTACTTTTGTCATGCAATATTGTTGTATTGATTTGAATGATCCTACGAATTAATATATTATAATGTATTCATAGTCAGATACCATTATGCGGATATCCTCACTGTATTCATCAGCATTCTGCAGTTGACTTCCGTATTTTTATATTTTTTTCTTTAATGAAATAAAGAAGTAACAATATTGAATACAAAAAATGATGTGATACCTCTTTGCATTGTTTCAAACAATTCTTAAAACCTATTATTACTATTACTAGCTAAGATCTGCGAATTTGTCTGCTTTTTAGATATATATACCCCATATCCTTCCTCTATCCTCAAGTCAAGTTTTATTAAGACTAACAAACAGACATACTAAGAATTTCGCATTTATAATATTAGGATGGACAGAAATAGCAACGATATGCTTTATTTTTGTTTAAACCGTTTAATCTAATTGTCTTAATACTGTCCTATATTAAGAAAATTCATTCAAACGAGAAAGTGACTGTACTGTTAAAGTAGGAAACTAATCATTAGAAACTCGAGTGAAATATAATACCAGTCTTATCATTATGGGCATAAGAAACTTAATTGATTGTAAAAACTCCAACTTCTTTTGTCCACAGTCATTAGGTAGCCAACTGCACAATTAAACTTATCAACAGCACTAAAATTGACTTTTGTAGACATTGAAACGTGTGAAATCTCACACAATCACATTCAATTAAGTCTTTTTCTTTCATAAAAGCGATAAATATTCCTTTGTACGCGTTCTATCATGATTATGTATATAAACAAAGTTGTGGTTACAATTTTAGAGCGGCGGTTACACAAATTTCTACTTTATTGCAATAGTATACGATTTAAAGGTAGAGAAAAGATTTTATTAAATGTAGGCTGTCTTGGTGCAAAAGCCTCTCCTAAACCGTGAAGTTAGCAACAGTCGGCGAGGCTCGTTTGACGACTTGGTTGTTCTCAGTCGTAAGCGGGGGCTTCGTAGTGCGCCTGTGTGTGCAACAACGCGAAACGTGTCGGATTTTTCACACGCCAACAAACAAGCAAAAAAAAAACAACTAAAGACTCCATGACAAAGCAGTTCGCGAGGCGAACGCGTATTTTTGTTGTGAGTTTAAAAAAGTTTATTGAAATCATCAAATGACTTTTTGAAACCGGTTGAAACGCTATAGGAAGTAGGCACGACAGTTATATAAAACTATAATATTCGGTTTTCTTTTGCAGGTATAACGAGTAAACGAGTTTGTCTTTTGTTTTGTGTGATTTTAGCCACAGTTCTTGTTTTATTTAAAAAAAAAGTGTTTGAAGACTGTTGAGTGAAATCGAGTGACGCTAACCGAATCAGGTGAGTTTGGTACAAAAGTTTTTTGCTTACACCAAACGGTTGTCGCTTTCTCCTGCCGCGGTTTAGGGTTGAATGCTTGGATGAGTCATTTTATTGTCAAATGACGTTTCGGCGTGCATTACAAGTTCTAACACAGCTGCTTATAGCTACGTGAAATAAAATATAAGTATCAATCATTATTCATTACGTACATTATTTAGTACCTACGAATATTTCATTAATATGGCGACTTTATTTATCAACAGCGCCTGTTATTTACGTTACGTTTGAAGTTTATAAAATTCAATACATGTATAGGTACATAATTCTTTTAAATATAGAACATAACTATATTTTTTACCGTTGTACAGTCTGTTACATAATTTTTACGTAATTATGAATTACTTAAAATGCTATTAGGTGTAGCCATTGTTAAATACGCAATACGCTAGTATTTATTACGTTTTTAACCAATTGAGTTATTTTATTTCATTGGTGAATTTGGACTTTTTTTTTATGGTAATGGTATAGTGCACCCGGCTGCTCTAACGGTTTACGCTGGCCGGGCGCCAGTGGAGGATGATAAGATGAGCATGAGGTCAGGTCAGTTAGCCCATTGTGACAAATTCACCATGAATTTATCATGATGGTTTCCAGGAGTGGAGGTCAACCTGACATGGTACATTGCTAGCAATAAGATCATCAGTCCACATTACTAACAATACACTTTCCCCCCGGGAATTTGGACTATTGTCAGGTAGTAGACCTACGAACTACTTAGATCTATTGTGCTCGCCCTTTTTCAAAGTTCGCTACCTAGACCCGTCAGGGACAAGAATTGAAGGATATTCTTAGGAGCGATGGTTTTTATCTCCTCAGTATAGAGTGTATATATCTAAAGGAGATATTTCATTCATGCATGAGTGGGTTATAACCACATAGGATAGGTAGTGGGGTTCCTCTTCAGCTTGGCAATATTGTTTTGTAGTGCACAGGCCTAAGTTTGCCATGAGTTTTTTCAATTTGCAGTGTCAAGTAATAACTTTAGTAATCATGTTTTTAACCAAAACAATAATATAATATGTCATGATAATATTAATAGTAATATATTCGTATTAGTGCGTACTTGAACAGGTGTTTGGCCTGTTCTGCTCACTATGACCGATTTATTTTGTTACTCAACCAACTGTATTTATGGTAAACATTTTTACGCTTATGAATTTGTGCTTAGTTACTTAAACCTTAACACCTATGTTAAAAAGATATACAGTTTGTTTCCTGTCAAGTTTCTTAGTCTTTTTTATTGTTGATAATGCATTCTGAATGTGCAGTAGATAAAAATATTATTAGGTATTGAAAGGTAGTTACTTTGTATGAAGATTATTTCTGTTTACTATTTATTACCTACTCTGTTATTGTTATATATTGTACTGACTAATCAGAAATGTATGTTTTATTCTAAATCTGTATTTAAATTTATAGCTCTTTTATTGTATATTATTTTATTTGTTTTATACTTCAATGTCTTAATAATCGTTTCCTAATATATTAGGGAGATATATCCAAGTCTTTGTCTATATTTACTTTTTACTTATACATATGAAATAAAATTACAAAAGCTATTATTGCTAACAAAATAACAAACCAGGTAAAACTTAAAGTGATCTCCCTGGAAAATCATTATGATTATTTTTTGGGTAAATTCCCCACGATAATCCAGCTGACCTGACTTGACCACAAATTAGACACAACTCAGAGGGGTAGTGAGTTCATCCTCTCTGCTATTCTGTTATAGCCTTTATCAATAATTATTATATAAAAAAATCTACAAAATAACGACTCCTTATAACACAATACCTATCTGCGAGTGAAAGCCCCGTGATAGTCGGTCCAGCCGCAAACGTACAGATAAAAGGCAACAATTTTTTAAATGATTTTTTATCCGTATATACCTACTTTCATATTCATTTAGTGAGTAGTTATTATTTGACATTACAAACACACACTTTAGTTTTGTTTATTTAGTGTATACATATATGAGAGCATTTTTTTAAGTCGGTTAAAAGAACACAAATAGCAGCTGATGTGTTGTGAGAGTCAGTATGGGCTGCCTTTGTTTCAATATCCACTATTGTCCATTGTTAAAAACACCATGACACAAATTATCTTGATTTTACGTAAGTCCGCTACAAATGCCGACCTTCTGCGACAGTGTACGCGGGGGACAGTCTGCGGCGTACTATTTTTTTTTTTTTTTTTTATATTTAAATACATTTTTCCACAGACATATTCGTCCGTGCCTTTTTTAATTTACTTTAATATTATTATATTTATTTAATTTCCATTTTTGTACAACTCCAGCCGAGATGTTACAATTTGCCTAACAGTGACACCGAGGCAGACCTTATCCGTCTAGCTCAGAACCACCGCTGGCCGGCCGGGTGAGTTGACAACATGCAGACCCATCTTTATTTGGAAGATTAGATTTATCAATATGCATATACAATTATATAAATCTTACATTACTACTAATTTCACAGTTTTCATTACATTGTGCAATTTAGGAATTCATAATGTAACAATACACATTATATGAAATCTTATTCTAACACTATTTTCAAAGTTCACTATTTGTTATAGTCCAGGTTTTGTTTAATTATTGATTGTTTAATTTCACAGTTCACTTTTTGTCGTAATTCGGCAATTTTTTTTTTTTTTTTTTTCCCTTTTTCACTTCCCTTTCCCCTTTTTTCTTTCTTTTTTTTTTTCCTTCTTCCTCCTTTTCTTTTCCTTTCCCTTTTTTTTTTTTATACTTTTAGCGAGCATGTTCCGGCCTTTCCAGTCCAAAGCGCCCCGACGATGCATCAGCTGTTCTGGTTTTCTATATCTGGCGTACTATTTGTCCGCCATATTTACTAGATACTCCTGTGATGTCACGTGCCGTAATGACGGCCTCGTTGGTATAGTGGTTTAGCACACCGCTTTACTTCCGATGGTCGCGGGTTCAATTTCTCGTACTGTGCAAACATTTTGTATTTATGAGTATGATTGTTTGTATCGGTCTGGGTGTTCTCTATGTATATTATGTATGTATTAAAAAAAAAGTATCCTATTTGTATCAGTTATCTAGTACCTGTAACACAAGCTTTAGCTAGCTTAAGTTCTTTAGATGGTGCCGTTTGAATTGTTCTGGGAAATAACAATGATAAATTTGTAAGGAGTGTTAATAGGGTGTGTGCCCTATAGAGTATAGTATATAGAAAATATTTAGTTTCTTCGTATTTTTACCAGCCTTATATAATTGGACTAGCTTTTGCTCGCGGTAATTTATCCCTTTAGGGATGGAATTTATCAAAATCCTTTCTTGTGGGACTACGTCATAGTAGCTTTATGCAAAGAAAAGTCTCAGCCCGATCGGTTTAAAATTGACGAAGTTTCATATAAACTTTCATCCCCTATTTAATCCCCTTGGGGGTAGAATTAATCAAAATAACGGACGCCTACGTCATAACATCTACCTGGGTCCGTCCAGTGGTTTGGGCTGTGCGTTGATAGATCACTATGTCAGTCACCTTTGAGTTATATATATTTAGATAGATGTGTGTAACGGTCCTGTCAGCACACCTCCTATATGGTTGTATCCCACTCGTGCATAAACGAAATATCTCCTTTGGAAAGTTTACACTATATCCTGAGGAGATACAAATCATCGCTCCTTCAATTCTTGTCCCTCATGGGTCTAGGTAGCGAACTTTGAAAAAGGGCGAACACAATAGATCTATGTAGGCCGCAGTGCTACAGGTTCAAGCACAACACAATAGCCCAAACTCCCAATAAAAAAAATAACTGTGTCCTATGGATATTATGATATCCATAGTGATGATGGTGATGTAATTAAGGGAAGTGTTGTTTATGAATAACACTTCCCTTAATTACATCACCATAGAATACTAGAGCACACGTGGATGTGTTAACTGCACTAAGTAATAGGTAAAATCATTACCCAAGTTATCTCGAGACTGAGGTGTTATGGCGGCGCCAGTAGTGTAGCAATAGGCTATTAGAAATTAAATAAAAAACTCGTTATTGTACTCCTTATAGAAAAAACAACATTTATGTGCATACTCTATTATGTATAAATATATATATATATAAACATACAATGAGCAAGACAAAACGACAACAATAAACAGCTTTATCGATGAAGCGATTTTACCAAAAAGTATGTGTTTAAACTAAAAAGAATTTTCGTAACTTGACAAATTTCCTTTTTTCCTCCATTAAAAAAAATTTATAAACCAAGTAAAAGATAGGTTGTTTATGTTATCTTTTTAAAAACCCAATTAAGTCCCAAATTCAGAAATTAAGCTGCTTAAGAGCTTACTACAGGGATCGTGGTCGCTTGATCCGATACTGTGGGCTAGTCGGCTCCAAATAACAGTATTACCAGAAATAAAATAATACTTTTAACTTAGGTAGACTTGTAAAAAGTCACCTGTATCACCACCTTGTCTCAGCTCTTGAATTCGAATTAAAAAACTCAAAGAATATGTAGGTGTTCATTTAACACGTATCAACGCTAAATTTATTACATATAGGTATATATAATATATAGGATTGTTGTTTCAAAATAGATTTTTAATATAATTCGCTAAAACAAAGACTAACTTCCTTTTTATAAATAAAAATAAATATTTTGCTGTTTGAAAGAAAAAAGTTGTTGGTTCTAAGTCTAATCTGTAGATTAATACTGTAAAAAATATGTGCGGAAACTACAAAAATGTATTTTTGTATTGTCGAATACAAACACGGTACTGGAAACACTAGTGTACGTACGTAAATGTCGAAATAATGTTGTAATACATCGTATAAAATTGTAATTTTACAAAATTAACGTATCTTTTTATTTTGGACAATTAGTTTTAAAGTTTTATACGATGTATTCAATAAATCGGTATCTTAGGTACAGCACTACCACCAGGGAATGCAAACCCGATCCCGCGGGATCCCGATCTCGCGAG